ATATATATATATATGTATATATATATATATATATATATATATATATATATATATATATATATATATATATATATATATATATATATATATATATATATATATATATATATATATATATATATACACACACACACTAAAGGTACAATATTATTTTCCTTATATGAACACCATCTATTGGTTGGATGCCAAACTTTGCTAAGGCCTTTACTCTACATTCTTTGGGTTACATGTAGCTGTTACCAACTGCAGCAAGCACTCCACTAAGGCGATGGCAGAATAGGTGGCCTTGACCTATCAGTCTGCAAATATACATACAGTATACAGTACTGTACTGTTACTCATACTTACCCCACCCTATTCTTGCAAAATGACCTCAATAATGTTCTCAAATTGGAGATGTAATGTAGTTATCGTAACAAGCAATTATGGAACCAACTCAATTTCAAGAAACAATGCACATGTGTCACAGTACTTACTTGTGGCCAATCAGTCATGTCAGCAATACATCCACTATCTATGCTCTCAGCCACATCTTCACTCCCACCATTTAACTTTGGCTGGTTACCTTTTTCTCTCTCTTCCACAATTTTCTTATCCTTTTTCTTTTTCTTTTTTTTATGAGGTTCACTGGGTACAAGATATTCACTAACACCTTCATTTTCTTCTACATCCATTTCCAGACTTTTATGTTTACGTTTCTTTTGTTTTTTCTTTACCATAAAAGTGCTATCATCACCATTTTCTACCTTAGTGTCTGAATTCTCTATTATCACATCACTTATGGTCATATCATTCAAGTGACGTCTTTTCTTTTTGGATTTGCGCACATCAACCATTGAGGTGCTGCTGCTGCTAGTACATACCACATCCTCTGTCATTATTCACAATTCTTCACACTACCTGTGGAAGAAAAATATTTCAAGGGTTTAAAAGATCTTATAAATAATATTAGATATATAATGGAATAAAAATTGTTAGTGCAGTACTAAAATAATGGACTGATACTCTTAATGAATGACTTGGTGATCAACAATATGCTTCCACCATAATTGCTCTACTGCTATCCTGTAATTCCTCACACTCAATCCATTAATCAATGGACAGCAACAGTGACACCCAAACAAGAGGCCTTGATATTTTCAAAGAATTTGACTATTAACAAAAGTGTTCCTTTGGCCTTGCCTTCTTTGCCCCCTTAAAATCATCTTTATCCAGCTGCAGTACCCATAGTTCAGGTCTTCTGGATCCTTCCCCTGAACATCACTATTAATGCTGGTATTCCTCAAGGTTCTGAACAATCACTATCTCTTTCCTTATTAGACTTTAATGATCTTTTAGTGACAACTCTTTTTAGGTTAGGTTAGGTCAGGGACGGGTTAGGTTAGCTTGGGTTAGGTCAGGTCCGATTGGGTTAGGTTAGGTTAGGTCGGGTTGGGTTAGGTCAGGTCGGGTTGGGTTGGGTTGGGTTAGGTCAGGGACGGGTTAGGTTAGGTTGGGTTAGGTCAGGTCCGATTGGGTTAGGTTGGGTTAGGTCAGGTCAGGTTGGACTAAAGATATCTTTGTAGTCCGCACGCTACAGTAGCACCAATTAACCACCCCAACATTATTTGGGGGAATAAGGTAAGGCAAGGTTAGCATTATGGTGGTTCATCTTTAGGTGAAATAAGCTGGATTCTTCAGATGATCCTAAATATTTTAATAGAGTGCTTGCTAATGTAAGAGCTCAATGGTTCATTCCTGGTAAAATAAATAACAGTTCAATTAAACTTGGTGCAGTTTCAATTCACTGGACTAAAGAGCATTTGTCTTCTTGCCAGGAGAGGAACATCTGGTGATACAACTGTGGTCGAGTCTACACTTATTTCTAGGAATTTACTCATAAATCATCGTCAAAATCTTCTTCTTCCTCTTTATTATGTTAATCAACAGACGAAAGCAAATATTCTCTACACTGTATCCCATCAGTGGGCAGGAACACGATACAGTGGGGAAATGTAGGTTTGGAAAAATATGTTGTAATTAACTCGTTGTGTGGTAACTCACATTCATGAAAATATATCTAAAAATATTTACCTTTATACGTAAACAAATACCGTAAAGGGGAAGAATTCACAACTTTGAAAAATTAAATCACCACACATCAACAGCAGGACAACTGCCTCCACACCAGCATAGCACCACAGCTTACCCCACATTGTATTTCAATTAAACATTAACAAGACCATTCTAAAAAGTTTTGAGAGAAAATTCCTATCCATAAGTAAAAGTTGTTTTCCTACAGTACAATGATATACCCGGTATATCTCCTAGCCATGTGCCAAGCTCTATCAATGGAAATAAAAGTATATTTTAACACTCTCAGCATTTATTTTACCTTTCTTTCCCATAAGGACAAAATTGGAAGTAAAGTCTGATTATGATAGTTAATGTATTATCCCCATAGCATCCGATCGCATCAAGAGAAAAGCAAATTAATCTACGACTCTCAACATGGGTTTACAAAGGGAAAATCTTGTCTAACAAATCTGCTAACGTTTTTTAGGAAAGTCTTCGAGGTAGTAGATAATGACGAAAATTACGATGTTATTTACTTAGACTTTGGCAAAGCATTTGACAGAGTACCGCATCAGAGGCTTCTGAGAAAAATTAAGGCTCATGGTATCGAGGGGATAAAATAAAATCATGGCTCACCGATAGAATGCAGAGGGTCAGCGTAGATGGTGTTAAATCTGAGTGGGGCTGTGTAACCAGTGGGGTTCCCCAGGGGTCAGTACTAGGCCCACTCTTGTTCATAATCTACATAAACGATCTAGATACTGGGATCAGCAGTGACATAAGCAAGTTTGCGGATGACACCAAAATAGGGTGGCAATTAATTCAGGGCAGGATGCAAATGCATTACAGGAGGATCTAAATAAACTGCAGGGGTGGTCTGAAAAATGGCAAATGAAATTCAACACCAGCAAGTGCAGCGTACTTAATATTGGAAGAACAAATACTTATAATGTATACAGCCTTAACAACATCAACCTAGAGAAGTCGACTTGTGAAAGAGACCTAGGGGTACTTGTAAGCCCGGACCTACGGCCTAGAAAACAGTGCGTTAATGTTCGAAATAAGGCAAACAGAGTATTGGGTTTTATATCTAGAAGTGTAAGTAACATGAGTGCAGAGGTCTTATTGCAACTATATATTGCGCTTGTCAGGCCGCGCCTCGATTATGCTGTTCAGCTCTGGTGCCCCTATTAGAGAATGGATATCAATTCACTGGAGTCGGTGCAGCGAAGAATGACAAAAATGATTCCGGGACTTAGAAACCTTCCATATCAAGATAGGTTAAAGAACTAAACTTGCATTCCCTAGAAAGACGAAGAGTGCGGGGAGATATGATAGAAGTATTTAAGTGGGTGAAAGGAATCAATAAAGGAGATGTAGATAAAGTTCTTATAATATCCGAGCAGGATAGGACTCATAGCAACGGATTTAAGTTGGATAAGTTTAGGTTTAGGAGGGAGATAGGAAGAAACTGGTTCACAAATAGGGTGGTGGACGAGTGAAACAAGCTTAGCAACTTTGTAGTAAGTGCTGGAACGCTGGAAAGTTTTAAAAGGAGGCTGGATAGATTCATGGATGATAGAGTGGTAGTAACTCTCGACAGGAGCTGCCATGCACAGGCCAACCGGCCTATTGCAGACTCCTTATTTTCTTATACATATGTGATTATTTTCCCCAGTACTATCCAGCCACTTAACACTCGTCCCCATACAGTAAATGACTCACTCTGGTGACCTCACACCTTCTGTTACTGTTATATAAGACAGTTTTTAATAATAGTGACATGGGAAGACAGACATAAGGACCCTATGGTAATAAGTTTGCCAACGGAAACCTTGGATGAATACCAGTAACTAAATGATGGACTAATGTGAGCTTGTATGGTTAATTATATATCTATTTAATTACCTAAGGTAGCGGCGACAGTACAATATGATATATTCGGGCTTAATTTGGATAAAATCCGCCAACAATCTTGACTGCACTGTTTACTTACCTTATCTCCACAACACTGACCAGTACAACGATCTTTGACCTTTCCTGGATGACCTGCAGTCGATGTTTTCTTAATTTTGCCACATTGACGTAATATTTGTTAATTACCGCCTAAATGACGACAAACTACAGCGGAGGATCAACGTGGAGACAACCAGATCAAGTCGCACATGTGTACACCCGCCATGGTCACTCATAACAATACATACTTCTTCTAAACAGTCTTTAAAACAGAAAATATTATTACCTAATAATTAAAATTTAATTATTATTAACCTTTGTATAATAAAAACAGAATTATTAGAAAATTTTAATAATTTGGATTTGGTGGAGTTGTAGTAGTAGCGGACAGCCTAGCTCTGGGTTACCATGGCAACGGCGTCCTTCTTGCCACCAGTCAGCTCTCAAGGCCCTGACGTCTATTTTATATACTGTAGATAGCTAGATGTATCGAAAGATAGATAGGTATGTAGATAGATTCAGCATATAAAAGTACATCGACCGATCATTGGCGAAGTGGATAGAGTAAAAGTACATTCAGACTACTTTAATAGGAAATCATGGAATTATATTTTATAGTTAAGGAACGTGTTATTTCATATTTTATGCTTAACCAATGTGAAATATATATAATTATTTTTTTTATGCATATATCAGAAATTCGGTAATGGGTTTCAGATCTAACTGAGAGTAGAGGAACACAGTTACCATGGAGACGGCGTCGCTTACTGTCACTGCAGTGCCCGTAGAGAATAATATGACGCAGTTGGGACCGAAGGCAACAAAAATCAGAGAGAGGCTTCGTAGCAACATAGATGAGTTAGTATACAGCTGTTTTTAATCATTTGAAAGATTCAACCTAAACTTCACTGCCGTGTAGCACCATGTTGAGAGTCTATTGTTTCTGCGTGGGGATTCATCATTGCAAACATTATAATTCTTCCTCCGGTTTTCACTTTCGTCCAACTATCTCTTCTGGTCAGGTATGTTATGTTAAACATTGATGGAAAAATCTTACTAATAAACTTACAGGCATACCGAGGCAGTTATGTCATATTAGAGGAGTCATAATTATACTGAATTATTCTGTGTCGTGTTAATTTTGTATTTTGGTGGGAAATTTGTATCTTTGTTTTCTGTACCAAGCTGTAACTGGATCCAGTTAAGAAGAGACAGAGAGAGGACGTAAACTATGACTGGTTATTTACAGAGACGAGAACATGACGGTCAGCAGAGAGGACGCGGTGGTAGTACAAGCTACCCAGGCGGGCAAGAGTTTCATGCAGGCCCTACACCATCACGAACACAAGCTACATGCTCTAGTGAAGCATGGCTGTACCATGGTGAGTCTTGTTCCCTCCACACAATACACACCTTCCATACACCCTCCCACATACATACACACCTTCCATACACCCTCCCACATACATACACACCTTCCATACACCCTCCCACATGCATACACACCTTCCATACACCCTCCCACATACATACACACCTTCCATACACCCTCTCACATACATACACACCTTCCATACACCCTCCCACATACATACACACCTTCCATACACCCTCCCACATACATACACACCTTCCATACACCCTCCCCACATGCATACACACTTTCCATACACCCTCCACACAATACACACCTTCCATACACCCTCCCACATACATACACACCTTCCATACACCCTCCCACATACATACACACCTTCCATACACCCTCCCACATGCATACACACCTTCCATACACCCTCCCACATACATACACACCTTCCATACACCCTCTCACATACATACACACCTTCCATACACCCTCCCACATACATACACACCTTCCATACACCCTCCCACATACATACACACCTTCCATACACCCTCCCACATACATACACACCTTCCATACACCCTCCCACATACATACACACCTTCCATACACCCTCCCCATACACACCTCCACATACATACACACACCTTCCATACCCCTCCCCCTTACCATTTCCCACCCTCCCACATACACACACCTTCCATACACCCCTCCCCACATACACATACACACCTTCCCATACACCCCTCCCCACATCCATACAACACCCTTCCATACACCCTCCCCACATGTACACACCTTCACATACACCCTCCCACATGCATACACACACCTTCCATACCATTCTCCTCTACACACCTTCCATACACCCTCCCACATACATACACAACCTTCCTTCCATACCCCTCTCACATACATACACACCTTCCATACACCCTCTCACATACATACACACACCTTCCATACACCCTCCACATACATACACACCTTCCATACACCCTCTCACATACATACACACCTTCCATTACACCCTCCACATACATACACACCCTCCATACCCTCCCATACATACACCTTCCATACACCCTCTCACATACATACACACACCATACACCTCCCACATACCCACACACCCTCCATACACCCTCCCCACATACATACACACACACCTTCCATACACCCTCTCACATACATACACACCTTCCATACACCCTCCCACATACATACACACCTTCCATACACCCTCCCACATACATACACACCCTCCTCCATACCCCTCCCACATGCATACACACCTTCCTTACACCCTCTCACATACACATACACACCTTCCATACACCTCCCACATACATACACACCTTCCATACACCCTCCCACATGCATACACACTTTCCATACCCCCTCCCACATACATACACACCTTCCATACCACACCCTCCCCACATACATACACACACCTTCCATACACCCTCCCACATACATACACACCCTCCATACACCCTCCCACATGCATACCACACCTTCCATACACCCCTCTCTCACATACACACACCTTCCATACACCTCCCACATACATACACACCTTCCATACACCCTCCCACATGCATACACACTTTCCATACACCTCCCCATACATACACACCTTCCATACACCCTCCCACATACATACCTTCTATACACCCTCTCACATACATACACACCTTCCATACACCCTCCCCATACACACCTTCATACACCCTCCCACACATACACACCCCTTACACACCCTCCCTCCATACACACCTTCATACACCCTCCCACATGCATACACACACTCCCACATCCCACATACATACACACACCTTCCATACACCCTCCCATGCATACACACCTTCCATACACCCTCACATACATACACACCTTCCCATACACCCCTCCCCACATACACACTCTTCCATACACCCTCCCACATACATTCCATACACACACCTTCCATACACCTCCACATACATACACACCTTCCATACACCCTCTCACATACATACACACCTTCCATACACCCTCACATACACACCTTCATACACCCTCCCACATACATACACACCTTCCATACACCCTCCCACATGCATACACACTTTCCATCCCCACATGCCACACTTTCCCCACCTCCCCACATACATACACACCTTCCATACACCCTCCCACATACATACACCCTTCCATACACCCTCACATACATACACACACCCTTCCACACACCATACACACCTTCCATACACACCCATCCCACATGCATACACACCTTCATACACCCTCACACACACCTTCCATACACCCTCCCACACATACACACCTCCATACACCTCCCACATACACACACCTTCCATACACCCTCCCACATGCATACACACCTTCCATACACCCCTTCCATACACACATACATACACACCTTCCATACACCCTCCCACATCATACACACCTTCCATACACCCTCCCACATACATACACACCTTCCATATACACCCTCCCACATACATACACACCTTCCATACACCCTCCCACATACATACACACCTTCCATACACCCTCCCACATACATACACACCTTCCATACACCCTCCCACATACATACACACCCTCCTTACTCTCTCTCCTCCACACACAGTCTTAATTGTATATTTTCGTAGTCTATATACATTTCAAACTAATTATAAACATGTAAGATGATTTTACTAAATGGTATACGTATGTGGTGGTGGTGGTAGTGATACGTGGGAATGGTGAAAGTGAGATGGTGAATGGTGAGAAATGGAGAGAAATAACAGATTTTAGATTTGTATATTCTGTGTGTGGATGATGGTGGTAGTGGTGGTAGTGGTTGGTGGTGATGGTGTAACGGTGGGAAAGGAATAAAAATCCCTACCGCTGCGAACTATTGTAACGGTGGGAAAAAACCCTTACTTATATCTGTACCTGTTTTACTGTACTCTCTCTGTCTTAACTCTGACCTGTGGGAGTATGGCTCGAGGGTAAGACCTGTGGAAGACCCGTGGAACTGTAATTATGGTACCAAGATATGGGGAAGTAAATAAAGGTGATCACTGTAGGAAAATAATACCCCTAACGTGCAATAAAGATGGTTTATTACAAAAATGCTAGACTTCTGACTACTTCCGGAACACACAAATACCATGAGTAACACTCATGTACTTCTCATCAAGGTACAGTACATCTCTCGCAGCCACCATCACTTGGTGTGTCTTTTAAACAAGACACCACACTACCCTTATACCTCGTACACTGGAGTACCAACAATACGCTTCCTGTATACTTTTACTTTTACCCTCTTCACCACTGATAGGCTCGCTAGCCGCTTGGGCGATCGGTCACGTCTGATTATTTTTCCTTTTCTTTTATCCTCTTCACCAAAAGATCGGCGCGTTAGCCGCTTGGACAATCGGTCACGTCTCTGTTACGCACTGTTGGCAAGTACTGGGCATGCACCGGCTCCTGAATGTACCTGAACTCGCTCCAGTGTTGGCCAATTTTATTTTGAAAGAGCTCGCACTCGGTGCCGCCACGACACTTTCTGGTAGATTGTTCCAAGAGTTCACAACTCTTACTCCGAAAAAGTTTGCCCTCACAGTTTTCTGGACTTGCGGCTTCTTCAATCTTGAGCTGTGACCCCTTGTGGGGCGAGCGTCCGCCAGCTCCAAGTAAGGACACTCGACTGAGTAGTGCCCCCTGAGTTGCTTATAAACCTCTATTAGGTCACTCCTTGCTCGTCTGTAGTATAAGCTAGGCAAGTTCAGGTGCTCCAATCTCTCAGGGTAACTGAGGTGCCGAAGGGCAGGCACCAATTCTGGTGGCCCTCCTTTGAACATTTTTCAACCAACTGACAGTCCCTAGCATATCTCGGGGACCAGACGGGGTGACAGTACTCCAGATGGGGAAGCACTTCACTCTTGAAGATTGTTACGAGGGACGGACCGTCAGATATCTGAACGTGACCATGACAGTGGTAGTATGTGTGTGAAGATGGTAACACTATATGGTGGTGGCACAGGTGGGGAATGTGGAGGTGGCGGCGCTGAGTGGGGAGGTGAAGGCAGCGGTTGAGAGCGAGACGCGGAGGGACGCCTGGAAGAACACCCTGGAGGAGGACACCCGGAAGACGCAGGAGGCACTGAAACAGATCCACCAGTACTGGGAGAAGGTCGTCACACTCACTATCCCCGAGGACCTTTATGATGGTCTGTGTCAACTCAGAGGTTAGTAGTGTTGTGTTGGTTTACTCGTCCAGTTCTCTCATGTTACCTCCACCAATACCACTCTTTTCTCAGTCTCTTTCCTCACTCTTATAAGCCTCTCTCTCTCTCTCTCTCTCTCTCTCTTATTCACTTATTTGATTCCTTTCTGTTCTATTTCTCGTCTCCCCACATTCACTTTCCGTCCCTCCTACAGACTGGAGCCAAGAACTGACGGAGCAGAAGGTGTGGGTGATTGGGGCCCTGCGGGGGGAGCTTCGAGTTCTAGACGCCACCTACACGGAGGAGATGCTTCAACACGCTCACCAGAGGTCAGAACTCTTGAGGCGAATCACTGAACACGTCACAGAACTGCACCAAGCTTACCGCCACTCACTCAGAGAAGTCCAGGTGAGGATAGAAAGAAAGAGAGACTGGAGAGATTTCACGTTTATACTAGGATAAGACGGATGACAAGACAAATGTTTGGTAACTTTGGTGGTTACTATGGGAAACCTTTGCTGTGTAGTAGTGTGACTATAGCCTACCTGATGATGACGGTGAATAAACACTGTTGTATTAGGACGTAGCTGAATAAACGCTTGGTGTAGCAGGGTACAGTATGTGTAAATAAATGTTTGTTGTCTCAGGGTGTAGAGGACAAGGAGAGGGCGGAGCTGGTGGAGTACTACGGGCGGGTGTGGGACGAGGCGGTGACGGAACTGAACCAAAAGCTTCAAGACCTCCTACACGACCGCCTCAACAACCGAACCTCCCGCATGGAGCAGATCATCGAGCTCAAGCTTCATGGTGCCGCTCCCCACACTGCTATCAAGGACAAACTCGACTCAGATATCGAGAAGGTCAGTGATTAGAGATAACTGAAGATAGGCACTTAATGTTGACCCTTTAAGGAAGCGATAAGGATTAATTAAGTATTACAGTATATACTTGTTATATTGTACTACCGCTGTGGACTGCGATATCTCATTTCAAAACGTGCTAAAGGGGAATCTTTGTATCAGATACAGATTAGAGGCTTCAAAATTGGGACACAGAGTAAGGCAATAAGTGGGGTGACGAATAGAGAAAGCAACACAACGGTTGAGGTATCTGATAGGACAACAAATGAATCAGTGGAGTAAAAGACGACGCTAAAACACATTGGGCAACATTTAAAATAACGAGTCAGTTAAAAGATGAGTAATATTTCTGGAACTAACCCCCTGAATACGATAAATTAACCCACTTATAGTACAATGTTATCGTACTCAAGGATATCATTGTACTCGAGGGGCTGTCATCGTAATCAAGTGGGTTAAGTCATCGTACTGAAGAGGATATAATTAGATATTTTACTATGTTATTTTACTGTACTTATAGGGTTAAGCCTGGACATAAATCGTGTACAGGTACTGGTGGAGGTGATGAGGATGAAGGCGGCGCAGCAGGTGGAGGAGAGTCAGCTACGGTACAGCCAGCAGGTACTACAACAGCAGTACAGGGAGACGACCGCCATGGTGAGCGAGGCCAGACGTACACTCAACGCCATCACACCAACACTCAACAACTACAGGAGGAAGGTAACTCTCCAGAAACGTATACAGTAAAGTCCTATGTTATGACTTAAAGGAAAATTATTCACTGATTACTAAAACATATTAAGTGATCCATGCACTTTTCATAATATTGAGATTTCATATTATTATAATACTAAAAAAATAACAGTTAGTTACATATCTCTCGTAATAAACATTTGCTTTTAATAATTTTTCATACGGAGAACTCGACCGGTCTTATCGATATACTATTTACCATTGTTTGTATACCTGCAGTCTAAAATACTTTGCCTATATACTGTATATAGTACATGTCTAATCAATGTATATCTATCTATCTATCTGTCTATCTATCTATCTATCTATCTATCTATCTAAATCGTCATCAACTGTCAGGCAGAGGCAGCGAAGGAGAGACGTGTCGCGCAAGAACAGGCAAAGCTGCGGGAGGCGGGAAGGATGCGGGAACTGAACCAACAGTACCGCAAGCGTCTGGCCAACAACTCCGCTTTCTTCAGCCAACAAACACAAGGCCTCTCTCAAATGCACTACCAGAAGCTCCACGAACTAGTAATGGAGGTTAGTACTTTATTCTCACAATCACTTTTTTCACCAAATCACTGTCTCATATTTTTTATGGGAATGTTTTGATGGGGTTAAAAAAATATCCTCAATGAAATAAAAATCGGTAGTACAGTAAATAAATATGCAAGCTAAATAAGTTAATGTAGTTTAGGGTGTTTAATCATCATGTGAAATAAGCTGGGGAGTCTTTATCTTCACGTGTGCGTCAGGTGGTGGAGACCGAGAGAGCCATTCAGCACAGTGTGTTAGCGCGGGAGTGGGTAGAGCCAGACCTAACCACCCTGAGCGACCTGGCGCCAGCACCCAATCCCCGCCAAACACATGCCCTCGCCGCCGCCACCAAGATACTCCAGCCCTCCCAAGGTCACACTTATTCTGTTATCAGATAACAGTGCCGGATTAACCATGAGGCACTTGAGGCACTGGCCTCAGGCCTCAGGCCTCCCGACTCTAAGGGGCCCCCAAATCCAAACATTCTCGAAGTTGAAGCATATAAAACATGATTTAGTTTAACAAATTTATTGGCAGAGCTTGTAGTACAGTTTGCCTATTCTGAGTAATTCAGTCAGGTCTTGACACTGAGGGTGGTATCACTTCTCACTGCCACGCAGGACAGAGGTTCGTACACAAAGAGATGCATCATATTCATTAACAGCTATAAATGTATAGAGGTCAGATTCATATGGGTAATGTCACTGTTCACTGCCATGCAGGACAGAGGTTCGTACACAAAGAGATGCATCATATTCATTGACAGTACATATGCATATATGTACACACACACACACACATATACATACATATACACATATACATACACATATACATGTGCATATATATACACATATGCACACATACACACATACATACATACATATACGTCGGTCAGATTCATGTGGGTAATGTCACTCTTCACTGTCCTAGCAATTTTCTGTCTCTTATGAACATTGAATGTGTTATTTTGCAGAAGCTTAATATTGATGAAATCATTGATAAATTTTGGTATATTTTGTTCTTGCTATATATATATATATATATATATATATATATATATATATATATATATATATATATATATATATATATATATATATATATATATATATATATATATATATATATATATATATACCTTGAGGGTAGGGAGCCCCAAGTTGATCTGTGCCTCAGGCCCCTATTAGGCTTAATCCGGCCCTGTGTTATCTCATACTAATATACGTAAATTACTTTTTCTCTTGTGTTTCAGCTAGTGGAAAGACAAATTAGTCATTATACACAGGGCCGGATTCAGGAGTGGGCAAAGTGGGCAGCTGCCCAAGGGCCTCCACAGTCTGGGGGCCTCCACATATTACAATATTTTATTTATTTGTTTATTCACTTTTATTATTTTTATTTTCATTCTTTAAAATTCATGGGAATTTGTACACTATCAATAAATATACAGTTAATTAAAATTTCTCAATGTTCTAATTTCCTCAATATAACTGCATATGGCTTCAAAATTCTCCAAAGAAGTGTTCAAATTTCAAAATTTTCCCAGGGGGCTTACAGCGCCCCCCGGAACTCCCAGATGTTTAGGCTCGCTTCACTCGCCACCCCACCTCTTGGGTAGTTATAATGAGGGGGGCCTCCACAAAGAGGCTGCCCATGGGCCTCCACAGGTCTAAATCCGGCACTGATTATACAGTGGCAAAGAAAGTTCTCGAATCTACATACTGTACCGGTAATAGTTAAAGAAGCCATTGCTGTTTTAGTCCTTACATGTTATAAGAAGCATTGTGTAAACACCATCGTCATTTCCTGTTGTCAAACGTCTCTGATTAAACCTCTTCATTACTGAACGTCACTAGTGAAACAGATTGTTGCATTAAATATTGATGTAAACTATGACTTGTATTAACATAACCAAACTCATCAGGCAACGTTAGGGTGTTTAATCATCAGGTAAAATAAGGTAGGGGCTAATCTTCATGTGGTCCATAACACTCTTTTCCAGCAGATGGTTCAGTGGACGGATTTGAGGGAAGCCTGAGCGTGGACGAGCAGTTCCTCACCAGCCTGGCGGAGGAGGCCGTCTTCCTCATCAACACCGACACCTCACACCTCACACAACACGGTCCCCTCCTCATACTCGAGCACATCTTCTGGGTTTGTCTTACATCCTTGAAGTTCTGTTCCTTATAAGTGTATTTCTCTTTGTGCCTTCGGACATTATTATCTGCATTACACTTAGATTTATTTTGTATTTGAAACTGTATTATCAACCATGTACCATTTAGTATCAGGAACTCTGCGTTCTTTGATATCTCTGCAGCACAAGCCTCTTTCCCTGTGGCTCAGTAAAACCTACCGCGCCTCTCAACGGGAGACGTAACCCTTCCTGACCTACCCTGTGACCCCTTTAAAATAGGCATGTAACCTCCCTGGCCAACTACACTCCCTACAGGAGCTTCCTAGATCTAATCTCTCCAATAAGAGATGGGAATCATTCCTTGACCAACCTTGTCTTCCTGCAGGAGATAGGTATCCACACAGAGGCAGATGTGCTGCGTCTGCTGCGTGTGGCCAGGCGTTACATCTCCCAGCGTCCTCCTGGGTCACGTGGCAGGTACAAAATATGCTGTTTTCTGAATGTTATTAACACTGAGATATTATAGAAAAAATTGTGAAGTCTACTGACTGTAACACCTATTTAAGATGTTGACAAAACTTATTAAGGAGTCTATGCATAATTAAGACTCGATATCACCAAATATGTTAAAATAGAAGAAGTCAAAGGAGACGATACTACAACCAAGGGCAGGTCCTGGGGGCCCTGACCCCCCTCTTTTCATCAGAAAATTCTAATATTTTTTTATTTAATGCAGTATTGTACTCAAACATTTTTGAATAGTAAAAAGTAATTACTATTGACCTCAGAATATCTCCTAATATCAAGTGCACTTGGTTTCAAAATGGCCTCAAAATACCCATAATATTGGTCAGATTTTAAAAAATATCTGGGGGGCTTACAGAGGCCCCCCCCCCCAAAAAAAAGAAAAAGCTGGGTAGGTTCTCTCTGCTCGCTATATTCCCCAACCCAAAACTTCTTGGATCCCCCCTTTTGATATTCCTGGATCCGCCCCTGACAACACAACAATCAATTTAGGCACAATGTATTTGCAGTTTGATATCATGGTACAGAACCTAACCTAGCCTAACCTTGCCTGGTTTGTTTAAGACTGTTGTGACAGAACCGAGTGTGAGTTCTTTCCAAATCAGACTTGACCAACACAGATACATTCTGAATTGAATTGAAACAGTTTATTTAGCCAGAAGAACACAGATACAGAGTGGATAATAATAACAATATTAACATGGCTGAGTCAGTTGAGAACCTGAGCTCTCTTTGAGGCACCTGATATATACTATACATTTATCTCAAGGAAGTATTATGTAACATTTAATATCATCTGGAATAGTACAATAGCATGGTGGTGATAAGAACATCTCATGTTGTTACCACGGTTATCACTTCAATATGTATTTATTTTATTGATTTATTTTATTTTTTTAGTTTATTATATATACTATATATATGTATATATATATATAAATATAAATATATATATATATATATATATATATATATATATATATATATATATATATATATATATATATATATATATATATATATATATATATATATATATATATATATACACATACATAGAGTGGAATTTAAAAACATAAGTATAATGGGGGAGCAGTACAACCTGGGTTGTACAGTAATAAGGTTGAACAAGAGGACAGAGCTGTCAGGATTATGTCTAGTTGGCAATTATGTTTATTGCAATGGTAATTACTTATTTATTTACATGATAATTTCCGATAAAACGGTTTTGATGGTACAATAAAAGCAGGTACTGTAAATATAGTAAGTGTTACAAGAAATATTAATACTTCGACAATAGATATTTTTTAAGAGATGATTTAAAGGAAGGGAGCGTAGTCTTTGCTCGGATGGGTGGGGGTAAGTTGTTCCACACCTTCACACCGTGATATTTTATGGAGGTCTGGGACTGAGAGGAGCGCATGGGGGGTGGTCTTAGTAGCTCTGGGTGCCTTAAGTTGTATCTCTGATTATTCCGGAACTGGAAGTAATTATTGTCAAGCAAGTGATTGATAGATTTGTAAACAAAGAGGGCACAGCAGTAGGTGTTAATATCTTCGAATTTTAAAATTTTCAATATAGCAAATTTTTCGTTTGTGTGATCTGTTTTTTTTTTCAAGTAGGTCATTGTCCGTACAACTCTCTTTTGTGAAGTAACCAGAGATTGTGTTTTTGAAGAGCCAGAGGCCCCCCCCATAGTGTGTGACAGTGTGTCAGGTGTTGGCAAACAAGATCATGATAGATTTCATTCATTGCTGTGAGAGTGAGTGACTGTCGAGTGTGATACATGATACCGCACTGTTTATTGATTTTACTGTGAATGGCTTGTATGTGGTTCTCCAGTTAAGTTTCTCATCAACAATAACTCCCAGGAATTTAGAATTTTGTTCGCGTTTGAGGACTATATTACTAAGGTACAGGGGGTCCAGGTCTGGGGGTAAGATTTTCCTTCTGTGAAAGATCGTGTAGTGAGTTTTCTCAAGGTTTAAGGTCAGTTTATTACGTATTACCCAGGTCCTGACTTTAGTTAATTCAGTGTTCATAGTTCTCATCAAGGAATGGAGATCTGAGTTGCTGGCATAGAGATTACAATCGTCTGCAAATAAGTTGTATTTTATGAGTGAGTTGGCGTGGACTATGTCGTTTATGTACAACAAAAACAGTAGTGGACCGAGAATGGAACCTTGTGGGACTCCATCCAAGATTGGCGAGGAGTCAGATTGGTGGTTATTATAGCAGACATACTGCATCCTGTGGGACAGGACCCTAACGCCGTAATGTTCAAGCTTTGAAAGGAGGATGGCATGGTCAACAGTAGCGAAGGCTTTAGAGAGGTCCAAGAATATACCGACTGTGAAGTGGCTGTCATCAAAGGAATTTAAGATGTCATTAGTAAAGGATAGCAGAGCACTCTCAGTCGACCTTCTAGCTCTAAATCCAAACTGGGAGTCTGTAAAGATGTTATTGGCATTGCAGAAGGATTTTAGTCTCTTACATGCTAGCTTTTCCAGTATCTTATTCAAGACTGGGAGGACTGATATGGGGCGGTAGTTCTTGAAGAGACCTTTGTCCCCAGATTTTTTATATGCCGGGTGAACTTTAGCAATTTTCATTTTATCAGGAAAGACACCACTAGTGAAGAAGGAGTTACAAATGTGTAGAACAGGTAGTAATAAGTGGGCCACTTTTTTAATGATGCTCATTGGCATATTGTCTTCGCCTGCTGCTGCATCTTTGGACATTTTTATGATGGCCAGTAATTCATCTGCTGTGACAGGGGATAAGAACAGCTCATTTTGCTATCTGTTTTGCAGGTAGGCTGTAAATTCCTCATGGTGATCAGGGATGCTCTCTGCAAGATTTTTGCCAACATTAATAAAATATTCATTGAAGTGGTTGGCAATGGGGGAGGATTCCGTTACAACTGAATCATTTATCATAAAAGCTGAGTGGGGGGCCGAAGGTTGAGTGTTCCTGTTCTGAATAGAATTTATGACATTCCAGGTTTTCTTACTGTCGCCTGATGCTGACTGGAGCTTTTTTGTATAATAGTTACGTCTGGCATTTCTAACTGCTTGATAAACTCTATTTCTGATACTTCCTTAAGCATCACCGAAAGTTATGGGTCTTTTTGCATATTTCCTTTGGAGTTTGTGTTTTTCCTTTATCATTATCTTAATTTCGCTTGTGATATAGGGTTTGGAAATGGATACAGTTTTCACTGACTTAGTCTTGAGCGGGAAGCATTTATCAAAGCAAGCACTGAAGATGCTAGAGAAGTTACAGCTGTTCACGTTAGGGTTGTCGGAGGCATAGACAAGATCCCAGTTAGCATTCATTAGGTTGTTTTCAAAAAGGAGCATGTTGTCGGCGCAGTAGTCTCTGTATTGGATTGAGACTCTACTAGACCTTTCAGGTCTTGTGGCTGTTTTATACATGGCAAAAACTGGGAAGTGATCTGAGATATTGTTATAAATAATTCCACTTGCTAGGTTGTTAGGAGTGTTGTTAGTCCAGATATGATCTATCACAGTGGCAGAGGTGGCAGTTACTCTAGTGGGTTTAGTTATAGTGTTGAAGAAGAGTTTAGAATGACAGGTAGCAAGGTCTAATACTGAGGTGTCGGTTTCTGATTTTAATAGATCAAGGTTGAAATCACCTGTGATGTAGCAGTCTTTCCTCTCTGAACTTATGATAGAGATAAGCTCCGAAAATTTATCAAGAAAATTCCTTACATTAGTGTGGGGTCTTCTGTAGATTATCCCTACTAGGATATTTCGTGTGTCGTTACGTAATTCAATGAAAACACTCTCCATGTACTCCTCCTGAACCTTTAAATCATCTCTTACAGAAGTGTTATACTTGATATCAACATATAGGGCGACACCACCACTGTGTCGTGACGTGTTGACGCAGTGTCTATTATAATTAGGAATGTTATACAAATGGTCAATATCGTTAGTGAGTTTGGTCTCACAGAATCCAATTACATCAAATTTGTGGGCAATAGAAGATAAAAACGGATCTACAAAGGTATCTAGATGAAGGGGAATACTGCTGATGTTATGGCTAATCAAGGAGAAGGAATGAGGTAGGAGGAAACTAGAACTAAACTCAGGAGAGTCAGGAAAGTGATAGTTACAGTTTGGGTTGGTGTAACCCAGTGAGTTATGCAGAAAAGCATCAGGATCGATATGAGGGAGTATTGTGCGTAACAGAGATGTGACCGACCGCCCAATCGGGTAACGAGCAAATCAGTGGCGAAGAGGATAAAAGTAAAACACTAAAATACGGCGTTGCGGAATGAGGTGTAAATATTCCATAGACTTCTTGCGTAAGTCAAATTTGAGGTCTGGGTCCGGCCTAGGGTTTCCTGTTTTGGGGGTTTCTTAGCATCCCGGGATTCTGGGACAAACCAGGATATTTCCCGGGATCCCGGGATTTCCCGCATCAGGTGATATTTGTACTAACTAATGCTGTATACTAACCCTATACTTCATTAGTGTAGTATCTGTAGATTATTTCTTAGGCAATTGATTTGATAAATTATATTACACTGAAGCAAAGTTCTCTTTATTAACTTGCATACTGGTGTAAAAATAGGTACACAATATGATTAAACAAGCAAATTTTTAATTAATCTCATTCCGTTAGCCACAAAAGAAACTCACAGACATTTGGAATGGCATTCAAAGTTAGCTATTCTACAAAAACCTCTCTCTCTCTCTCTCTCTCTCTCTCTCTCTCTCTCTTTCATGCGTTTTTGTATTTTAAATAGTGCAAATCAGAGATAAGGAATAACAATAAGCATCCCGGGATTTGAACCAAATTCCCGGGAAAAAAAACATAACCACTTACGCCCAAGATCCAGGGAAGGAAACCCTAGTCCGGCTCTAACATCAAGACATACCTAGTCCCTTTGGTCCCTGTTCACCTAGCAGTAAAGCAGGTACCTGCTGTAAATCGAAAGTTGCGAATTCGTATTCAGGGACAAGTTGTTGGAGCTTCCAATAACTTGCTTAGACATAAACCGTTGACTCTTCAGGCTTCTACGCCCTTGACTCTTCAGGCTTCTACGCCCTTGACTCTTCAGGCTTCTACGCCCTTGACTCTTCAGGCTTCTACGCCATTAACTCATGAGACATAAGGCAAGCATGAACTGAGCATGCTTCCCTGTTGGGCGCTGTAAACGCTTCTGCGCCTCACCTTACACAAGGATGTTGGGGGGTGCCCCCACCCTCCCCCCCCAAAAAATAATACTATCTCATTTAAAAAGGTTCATGAGAGTATGGTTTACTTTTACTGGATGTAACTTTGTACTACGGCTTAAGGCAGTCAGCTAGAATTACGACTACACCACTAAGTAGGAAAAAATAAAGTACGAACTTTTGATAATCCAGGTCCATAATTTCCACTGTCTTGCTTTCCAGAGGAAGAGAGGAAGAGGAGAGGGAGGAGGAGGAGGAGGAAGCTATTGGCGGCAGGTGGCGTGGTGAGTGTTATTTAGTCATCCTGGAGTAAGGAGTTGATAGAGATAAATTTCATTCAGTAAAATTATTGTCAATACACGTTGACACTGATTCAGTCTGGCTGGTGTTCATATTATCTTCACCTTATATAGCAGCACTTTATTTACCACACACACGACAAGGAAAATTACAATGTACACACCAGTCAATAAAAACACCGTGAACTTAATTAATATATCATTATATACATTATATGTGTGAATGATAAAAAATTAAAACACCTTGAGATATTGTAAACTTGATTATATAGAAGTTATATAATTCATGAAACTCTTCGTAATGTTAGCGATGATGACCTATGATTTTTTTTCGTGTTTCAGAAAGCGACCGACTCTTTACTCCCGCGGACACGTTGAATGTTCTAATAACTTTTTGTAATGCCAGGTGAATGTGTATGTTATGTGTACATGTATATTTACGTATGCACGTATATGTACAGTATCTAAAATAACTATCTGTGCATACTTTGTGGGAAACAATATGAGACCCTGGACGATAAATTTTGGTATATGAGGGCTATCACTAGTCACACGTAAAATTTCACTCGTCTCCGCAAGGTGGATAGCCCACCTGCTGTTAACATCCTCCTCTATTTCCCACTTCTGAACTTTACCTTATACTGTACCCTTCTTGCACCCTCAGAGCTAATGCTCTCTTCTCTCTGTATCACCGACCGACGTAAAATTTCGGAACAAATCGACCCTCACCTGCACAGATAGTTGTTTTAGCTACTGTACGCGTTTGTGTAAATGTTTTCATATGCATAAGTATAAGGGTTTTGACTATTTTATTATAAAAGTAGAACGGATCATCTGAAGAATCTCCACCCCAGCTTATTTCACCTAAAGATTAACCACCCCAACGCTAATCTAACCTAACCTAATCTAATCTCATCCTCCAAAATAACGTTAGGGTGGTTAATCTTTAGGAGAATATATAATTTACATATAATTTACATTCACTCCTAGAGTGAATCCCGTAAAATAATTAAGACTCACTACAGTTGTTTGGTCCCTCTGTGGTCATCGAATAGCCTATACAGTACTATCCGCCTTGTATCTCACCTCGATGTTTTAACTCCCCGCCTCAGAAAATCTGGGGAGGAAGGAAGTGTTGGGGCAGCTGATGTAGACGAGGAGGGCCCTTTGTACGCCCAAGAAGGAGAGGAGGCCGCCCGCTGGTCCTCCTTCCTCAACAACTTCTGCAAGAGGATTAGGGTGTGGACGGCCACCAGAGACGCTCTCACTCAGTACCGCGACGTGCTTATAGGTGGGTTGAGGTGTTGATTATATATATATATATATATATATATATATATATATATATATATATATATATATATATATATATATATATATATATATAGTAATCATTAAAATCTGATATACGCCCAAGAGAACCTTACGAAATAAGGTTAAGTACATTATTAATGAACTTCGACCACAAAGACACTCCCTAACATGCACCTGTGGTCACTCAGCCTCTACTGTGATTAACCTTCTTAATTATTCCTCCGTCAGGTCGGCTGGAGGAGATGCGTAAGGTGGATCGTCTTCGTCGGGAGAACGCAGAGCTCAGGTTTCTCCTGCAGGGTGTTGTGAACGATCTGTAACCTGGGGCCTAGCTACTGCTTGGGTGCTTCCTGTGCCATTTCATCAGTGACAAATTTTTCGGGTTTTACTGGAATTCTTATCAGTTAATCATGACTGTTCCCACCAATTGTTTGATATATGTTGCTATTGTTATAAAAACTGTAATTTACTTCGTATTGCAACAGCTCTGGTCATGCTTTGGATGATAATAACGCCAGTGAATTTCCTCTTCGTTTTAAAGGCTTGTTGAATAATTAATGCACATTTGCTTTTCGTTTGTCTGCACAATAATATTATCTTCTGTCGATTGTTATGATGATTACTGCGATAACAGAAACATAAACAAATACATAATAAATATCAAAATGTTCATCTTTTTCCCAGCCCTGGTCTTAATTTGGATTACGCACACACACACACTGGTTGATTTGTCAAGAACGTTGCTGAGATCAATATACTTATTGTTACGTTATCCTTTTCACCAACGATCGGCTTGTCAGCTGCGTGAGCGGTCGATTACGTCTCTGTTATGCAATGTTGGCAAGTACTCTTCTGGTTCAGTATGTATCTGTACCTACGGGGAAGCACCTCGCTCTTGAAGATTGAATAG